TTGTAAGTATAATTTCTGATGAAATATTACAAAATCTAAAAAAAATTGAAAAATATTTTTTAAAAATTATATATGGGATGAGAAATCTTAGAATATTTCAAAATGCACATGTATGAAAAATTCTGAGAGAAAGATATAAACTTTCCGAATATTTCTGAGTATTTTTGAAAAATGTTCGAATTCGTATAAAAATTATAAGAAAAATTTTTACCAGGAACATTTGTAGAAAAGATATTCTGTCTTCAATAAATAATTATTAAATTTATAATTGCCTTTCTACCTTTGAAGTACAGTTGGAGATGATTCAAGTTCATCCTTGTCCGTCGCATAACTCATTTCCAAATCATTTTCCGTTCTTTTTTCGTTCGCATTTTCATCTATGGAAATGTTTGATTTTTCTATAAGACTGTCCTTTTCAAAATTGGCTTTTGGAAACATGAACACATCATAGGTTAAATTTGGTGATATTCTGCTAGTTTGCTTGCCAAATTCCAGTGCAGGAAATTGTAACAAATGCAGCTTGGGTTTTTCTCCTTTATTCTCGTCATCATTTGAAATAGAACAATCTTCTGTCATACTGTTGATATTTTGTTCGCTTATAATTTCGATATTATCCGATGTATCACTCCAATAGTCATCTATGGCCAATTCTTCGTTCGCCAGAGCAGCTATTTCCGGTACTATGGAACGCTTCATCATAATACGAGTGTACCTATCTGCGTTTAATACATAAATTTCTTAAACATAGTTTCTTCGCTCTTTACTTAAAATAGATATAAAAAAAAGTAGCAAGCATAAAATATACAATCAATAAAGATAGATAATATTTTTCTTAATATAATCCAATTTTGTGATGCAATAGAAAATTAATTAAGTAAGCTACAGCGTTTATCAAATTTTTAGTTATAATAAGAAGTATCCTAAATATCTAGTCTTATGTTATCTTTAGTTTAGATTGATGTATCTTTTATTAAACTTTTACCATAATTCTTAGTACACATAATGAGTTATTTGAGTTAATTTTTAACATTTTCACAAGTATATAAAAATTGTTAAGTGATTCTTACATATACTTTAACATTTTTAGAAAGTATTTATAAGGTAGTACAATATTAAAAAAAGAAGCTAGAGAATATTAGATTATAGAGATCATTAGGTGCTTCTAGTATTTTAAAAAAAAGAAAAGAAATGTGCAGGAACGAATGACCCGATCGTGTGTACTAAGGATTAATTATATAATCGTGAATCTCTTTTTTTATCACGATAAATATGCTTATCAATTTTGTATAACACAATTGAAGAAATGGATGATAACTGTAAGCTTTATATTACGTAAGTTATAAATATTCGTTAAGAAATTTTATAAAGAAAAATCATCTAACTAGTAGTCGAGGACGGCATGCCTAATTCCAACAATCTTAAGAACAGTTCCTTGTCGTTCTTCATGGCAGCCACGCATAATGGAGTAATGTCATCGTTAGCTGTGTGTGCTAATGCGTCCGGGTAGGCGTTGTACACCGTTTCGAACATCTCCTTACTGATCGCAGCGGCTAATCCAAGGACCGACATGCCTACAGTTATTAAAAAGGAAAGAAAAGAAGGATCTTATTTAAAATAGTGTCGCAGTACCGCGTTGTCAGTTTCTTATTTAAAAATTTTTTGTTTTACTATTTAATTTGGTAATATGATCTTTACAAAATAATTTATTTTCTAAAGCTTACAACAAAATCTTTAGTCAATCATCTTAAAATTTTCATTTGGATACCGAGAATTATTCGTAATTACTTGCTTACTTACCGAGATAAGTCATTTGATTAACATCGGCGTTTCTCTGTAAGAGCAATTTCACAGTGTCGATATTTCCATTACGAATTGCTTGCATCAACGGGGTCCATCCAAATTTATTCTTTCTATCTATGACACGGCAGTTCTCCTTCTGGTCCAAAATTTCTCTTACAATACCAAGACAACCGTTCGCCGCGCTTATGTGCAGCAGATTCTCATCGTAATTATTTACAGCGTTCAAAGTGTATCCTTCAAAACAATTTGTATCAGCCCAAGTAGAACACTGAAGTCATGAGGACATCATCTCATGACCTCATTCGTCACTTATAAGTCAATTTTTAGGTATCAAATGACGTCATGATGACGTTCTGTGATTTATGACTTAATTATGATCCTGTGTTCTATCTGGGAGTTTAATTAACATTTTAAGCCTCGTCTCTACTGAAGCCAATCGTGCCGATTTTCTTTATAAAAAAAAAAGAAACCAGTATGCCAATCTACGCGCTTCAGTAGAGATACATGAGCTTTTATAAATTTAACCAAAATTCACTTAACGGAATACAAATAATTGTTTTATAGTTTTAAGTATTTGTCATTGAAAACAATAATTAATTATAAATTATACATTGCTAATTGATCCATATAATTAAGGAGAACATTACCTTGCTTCTGCATCGCTACGATGACTTGCGCTTCCACAATCTTTTTAGCACTATTGTATGGTTTTGGCTTTAACATTTTTCCTCTTTCGACTCTTATCAAGTGCATTAAAAAATTTCATTTACAACAATCGGATTAGTAACTTTCTCTCTAAACAGCAAAGCCCGATTAAATCTCATTACTCGTTATATCCTGAAGAAATGCCTGTTACGTTTATATTTATTAAACAAATTATTATAACACATATACATATTAAGAAAGCAGTTCTGTCTTCGCTAACTGTCCAGATAACACTGATCTCTATTATTGTCTAAATTAAATATTGCCACGTAATGTACGTCGCTTGCTGGCAAGTGTTTTCTTTTCTTCAAGCGTGTAGTTATCAAAAAAAGGTAGTGAGAGAGAAATTTATTATCGGTATATACACAAAATCTGACGAAAAGGGATGCTAACAGTTTCATAATAAATCTATTATGTCGGTGTAAGAGGCTCATAAAGTAAACATCCCAGTGACTGGACATGTCTCTATGTCCGAACATTTATACAAAATTTATTTTTATTTAATTTAATTATATTTAAAGATAAAATTAAATTATAATATTATTATATTTTAAAAAAATATTTTAGTTGATTAATAATAAACTAAATAAATAAAGTTTTGTGTAAATGTCCGGATATAAATACATGTTCAACCTCACTAGGACGTTTATCTTATCATTAAACAAAATAGGATATCTACAATTAAATCTTCCATAAATAAGTGAAACCAAAATTGCAAGCTTTAGTATATTGCTTTTTAAGGAGAAATTTTTTAATTTTCTTGAAGTTTTTAATTTCATTTAATACGTACAGAGCTTGATAGAAAAACATTTTATTTAAATCCAATCTAATAAAAATACATTATGAAATAGAAGAAAAGAAATTGCTGAGAAGGGGGGGAGAGAGAATTGAAGATACAGACATTATCGACTAATATAACTTTATCGATCGTTGGTATAAACATCCTGACAGACAGCCTGATGATAAAAATAATTTTAAATAAAAATCAAACATACACGATATATATTATAATAATATAGATCTACATATTATAGCCTGGATGAAAATTTTCCTCAGAAATTTTATACAAATTTGAACACTTTTTAAAAATACTAAGAAAGTCGAATTTATGAACATTTTTTACATAATGTAAATTCTGAAATATTCTGAGATTCTATGATTTCTCATTCTATAATTATTTTGAAAAGATATATTTTTCAAATTTTATAAGATTTTATTATTTATATAATTTTATATTATTTATATAATTTATATAATTTTATTATTTATAATAAAATCTTAGAAATCAGAATATTTCAGAATAACGAAAAATTCTAAAAAAGATGTAGACTTTCTTGGCACTTCTGAAAAATGTTCTAATTTGTATTAAAAAACCTAAGAATTTTTTTTAAGAGATATAAAACTATTTAAAGATTCTGAAAAATTCTGAGACAAATTTTCAGATATCTATAATAAAATATCATATTAATAAGATATTATAACATTAATTTATCACATTAGCCAACATGTTTAAATTTTCATACAACTTTTAGCACTAATATATCTTGTACGTGATAAATTATAGCTAATATTCATCAATGATCGAGATTCCATATAATTGAGAAAATAAAATTAAAAATGAAAGAAACTTTGGAACACATCGAATTGAGCATTGAGCTACGTCTTTATCGTGGCTGTTTATTTTCAGAGAGCCGCATTTGCTCCACGGATGAATTAATTAAGAACGTTCAACGCAGTAATGAAATGCGTGACGTGACGGCTCGCACCGCCCGGGCAGGGCCACTCAAAGACTTGGTGGTCCCTCTAGCGGTATCTCTCCCAAGCGGAGAGGTCCATCGGGTGTGCTGGATACGTCCAGGATATGCTACGTATCGCGCCGCCTTGGGGTTAACTGCGATTCTACTGTGCATCGCCGTCAAGGTATACCGCCGATGTTCGCCGATGACGAGGGACGGGATATGGCGAGTAGCGCCGGTCGCGAGAACCATTCAACTGTAGGAAGAGTGCTCGAGGTCGCGAACACCCTCGGGAACACTGTACACCCGCGCGCCGTCTCGCCTTCCCGTCTCTCCCGTGAGAACAGTCTGACCTGTAAAAAAAAATCCCACTGTCAAGTGATCTTTAATGTAGATCCGTGAGATTTAGTCCTCGAGGTTGTTTCCAGTTGAACCGCACATTTGCAGCACGGAATGCTGTTGCTTAGATAGATATGCAGAGACATATGTCTCAAACATATCCCGCGACGTGACACTTGTTTGCATCTCATTGATATTCATGTGATGCAAGTTGCGAATCTTAGCTCTTGACGTTAGCTTGTATAAGATGTTTACATTTTCCAAGTCGGACCGTACCGGAACTTGGAAGCCTTCTAGTATACTATAGAGATAATCCTGTTAATATTTATTCTCATTTGCAGGAGGAAGAGGAGTAGGAAGAAGAGGAGAAGGAAGATCTTATAATACATCCAGCCATTCGTTTCTGAAAAACAGAGACGATTAACAATGACTGAAGACAGACTGCGATTATTATAATACAATTTTATCTACATTGAGACTAAGGTAGGTCTGTTTGATAAGACTTCTCAAATGTGACGCAATATGTACCTTGAAGCACCCAAACAATTTTTTCAGATCTGCCTTTTCCTCCATTATGCTGGTTCTGGGAGTATTTACTTCAACTGGAAATCGCTCAATCTCAGTAGATATACTCATCAATCGTGGACGAATCCCTTATATATTTTTTGCATAAAAACAAGAAAGGCATGAAAACAAAATGGTGATAGATTAGTGATGTGCCTTTATCTTCGGTATTTCAATTTTACTATGACAGTAAGTACAATATTACAAAGAATTCGACTAGTTAAATCATTTCTTCTGACCATCCTATTTATGGGATAAGATTTAAGAAGTTTTTTTTCCATATGTATATATAATCTATAAAAAATTAAAAAGATGCTTTTTATATGGAGTATTTATATGGAGAGAAAAATTAGAAAGTTGATAAATAGATATTTATCATCTTAATGTTTCTTTATATGAATAGTCCATATGGAACGTTTTTTCAAATTTTAGATGATAATATATGAATAGAATGGTGGAAAGGAATTTTTTAAAATAGTATAATGATCTTAAAGTTTAATATTCACGATAAAATTGATATTTTTTTTTATAGGGAATGTCTTGACACATTTTGAAGGAAAACGAGTGTATGTGATAAATATAAATTTCTTGATTGTGTAGCTATACATATGAAAGATGGATAGCTCCGAGTACGAAATGGTCAGAAACATGACTCTTCTCTTCTTCTTTGAACGTCTGATGGATAAGGGCGGTCCACGTACATTGCACGACCTAAGTTGCCAGTTCGGGGCTAAAGGATTCACGAAGGAAATGCGTCAAATAGCGGGAGGATCGCAAAGTGGCCTTAAGAAATTTCTAGCGCAGTATCCGGCACTTTTTCTGATCGACGGCGAGTATGTATCCGTCAATACGTTTCAACCAGTCGTGGAAGAGGAGAGCGGAAATAAATCGGGTAAACGCGACTATGCCCGCGAGGCCGTAGAATACTTTACTAATAAGCTATTGCAATACGGAGTAGGTACCGAGGTGCCTATTAAAAGTCTCTTGGGCCATCGATCGCAAGCTTCGCCGGAAGTCAGGCATATATCCGGTCAGCACTATAAAGAATTTCGTGATTTTCTCATGAAGTACCCCGATGCGTTCGTAGTCAGCGAAGATAATGTAATATTGAAACAATATGAAGGCATGAAGCCGGAGCCCTTTCATGAACTGGAGCCAGATATTCCGATAGATCCGGACGTCACGGCGAAACTGTTAGACTTTTTCTGTGTATGTATCGAGCAAAAGGGTCCGATTCTCATAGATCAGTTATTCAGTACGGTCAATGAAAAATTCTCCCATGAAAACTGGACAAGTATATTCAAGACGTCACAGGATCTGTCTACTTTTATAAAAATGTTTCCAGACGCTTTTCACGTGCAAACGAATCTGGTGACGTTGATAGGCCGACCGAAATCTTCCGTGATGGAACCCGCAGTCGCGAAAACGAAGATTTCAAGCGGTAATCAACGCAATCAGAGCAACAATGTGGCTCACACAAACAATGTGATGCCGATTATTCCGCCGAGCAAGATCCAACTCTCTCAGCCGCCTTTGGATCAATTAGAAAGCGTATGCAATAATGCCACATCTCAACCTAATTCATTACAGAACGCGTGCACATTACCTGCTGTTGAAAGCAATAATAATTCACCACCCGTGAGTTTGCAACAGCAGTCTCTGAAACAGAGATTCAATACAATTGTTATGAGAACTCTGGCGGATAACACAGAACGAGATCGCAGTCTGCAAGCTGCCCAGATGGGCGACGCATGGAAATTGAAAGTACTACAGCAGACTAAGGTGATAGCGACTTTGCGGGAAAGTCTTCAAGTTACCGAAGATATAATAAATCCTCGAAAGCCTCCGCCTGACGGCAAGGTGGTCGTTTCTTTCGATTGCGAGGGCATAAATCTTGGTGTTAGAGGACAGCTAACTCTTGTACAAATCGGTACAATGAGCGGTCAAGCGTATGTGTTCGATTTGGTCACGTGCCCGGGTCTTGTTCAAGCTGGTGGTCTCCAGAAGTTACTGGAACATTCTCATGTTATTAAGGTAAAAATATATAATAATATATAACAGATGAAAATACATAAGAGATATTAATTACTTCACAAAGATAGACAACTGCTTCAAGCATATAAACTTGTGTTCATTATTGCAGGTGATTCACGATTGTAGAAATGACAGTGTCAATCTATATAATCAGTTTAATATTACGTTAACGAATGTTTTTGATACACAGGTACTTAACGTTCTTTACATTTTTTTTATATAGAAATAACGTATCATTATAAATGTAATATGAAATGGCAATATCTTTTATAGGCTGCGCACGCAGTGCTTCAGTTTCAAGAAACGGGGAAGCCTGTGTACAAAGTTAAAAATGTTAATTTGAACACTTTGTGCGATCATTATGGTGCTCCGTGTAATCCGCTAAAGGAACAATTGAAAAATATTTATCGTAAGGATCAACGTTATTGGTCTCGACGACCCATTACTCGCGAGATGCTAATTTATGCGAGTAGCGATGTTTTAAGTCTCGTACCTCAAGTTTATAATGCTATGTCTAGGTGTGTCATTTTATTCGCAATTTTCTCGTGAATAATTAATTCTTCCCATGAATAATAGACTAGTACAAATAATGGTTTTGTTTATTATTGACAGACTTATAAAGCCGGAACATGAGTGTCTTTTTGCGGAGCTTTGCGAAGAACAGATTCAAATGCACATAAGACCGGCGATTGTAAAAGCGCGTAAGAAGCAACGAAAGATTGCGACCGAATTGTCAGATTTGAAAAAGAGAATGGAAGAAGCGACGAGTAAAAATATTGTACTGAGTAACCGTGAAATTCGGCTTCTTCGCTACTTGGATCTTACCGAAGACGAAAAGGAAAAACTCAAAGGAAGTTATAAAGTTGCTAGAAAATTGGAAAAGCTAGAGAACATGGGCCAGGATAAGGCCGATAGCAGCGATGATGACGACGACGATAAAATGGATGATCATGAATATCAAAGCTTGGAAAGCTACACATCGGAAAATTCTCATTCTGGTAAAATATCAACATTTTAAGTTAAAATACAAAATCACTATTTAAAATTATAAATAAATATATATATACATTTATAAATATATAATATACAAGGTGTCCCATTTTAAATAATGCATTAAGATTTCTCGATCTACCATAATTTTCGAGAAATCTTAATGCATTATTTAAAATGGGACACCTTGTATATTGTATATGTATATGTAATATACAGGGTGTCCGGTAAGTTACAAAATGCTCGTGTGTAAATAGAACGGACTAAACTGAGTCGAAAAGTCCTGTACCATTTTGCAATTTTCGCAATAGTTAACAAGATATTAATAACTAAATTGTTGAATATTGGTTTTCAATAATTTTTTACTCAAATACTATCAACTTTACAGAAAAACAGCGACAGACAAAATTATTTATTTTCTTCTCATAAAGTTCTGAGAATTTTTTCAGAATTTTTTAGTGTTGGGTAGTAACTAGTTAGAACGTTAAAAGTTAAAAAGTTAATAACTTTTAACTTAACTTAGTTAATTTTAAATGCATTAAATTTTAACTTAACTAAGTTACTTTTATACGTTAACTTTTTAACTTTTGTTTAAAAAAAGTTAAAAATTTTTTTTATCTCTGTTAAATGCCTTAGAAAAATAATAAAATATAATAAGACTAAGGGCGTATATTCGTAATTCATTCATATTTTAAGACTATCTTAAGTAATTTTTTAAGATGCTAATACAGCTCTCTGATTGGCTTATGCCTTTTACCATAAGCCTTAGTCCGGATCTACAATAGGTGTTTTAAACTTTAAGTCATAAGTAATTGACCAATTACAGTCGCATACGAGGAGAATATTTGACTTTAATTGGTCCATTTTTTATGGCTTAAGGCTTATTAAAAAGTAAAAACCTAAAAAGTTATGTTATATCATATGTGAATAAAAATAAAAATTTAATTTACTTGATAATCTATATTGTACTTGTTATTAATTCTCATTTTAAGAAAAATTAGGACATTTTGACCTCAAAAATAATTTTTTTCGAAATTAACTTTTTCTAACTTAAGTTAATTCAATATTAACTTAACTTTTGTTAAGTTAATTTTTTATTCCTTCAACTTTTAACTTAACTGTATTAATTTTGTAAAGCCATTAACTTTAACTTTATATTCAATTAAAAAAAAACATTAACCCAACCCTGGAATTTTTTAATACCGTATTTTCTCATGTTGATAAAAATAGTTGATATAAGAAAGTGCAATGAAAGTATAGATTTATCTTTTTGGAAGTTCTGTATAATAAGCATAGTTTGATGAAAATTAATTTTTAGGTGGCATATTGTCGCCACGGAATGCCACTAACTGAGTCAATGCAAATGATGGACGAAATACTCTCGGACGGTCGGATGGATAAACTGGAGAAGATTGAGAAACTGGAAGCCATACTGTCAGCTGTTACGAGCTCCGCGACTGACCAGCTTTCCGCCAACAATGCGAATTCAACGCCTATCAAGTGTGTCTGTATGTGTCAAGAGGATAAGACCGACAGTCCGCGAACGGATCGCCAAGCTGCTGGAACTAGTGTGGCTTGCCAAACGCTTAGCACAGGTGATATAGTATTTACTAGAGTGTTTGTCAGCGAAGAGGAAAAAGAGCGAGTAAGATTATTGAATTCGCCAAAAAAGTAGGTATTACAGCTGCTGTGAAAGTAGTAGAAAAGTTGCCATTTATAGGTTTTTTTATAAAAACGGAACAATTGCATAAAAGAATTAAGTAGTTGAAATTTATCTATTTTATGTAATATATATGACAAGATTCATAGAGCAGAATTGGCGAAACTCGAGTTTTCTGACATGTCTGCTCCTTTAAAAAAAAAGTGTCTTAAATGGATAGGCCTTGTTATACATGCCTTTCCAGATCTGACGATATAATCTTCAGATTTTTGGAAAAGGATTATTAATTTTAATATGAGGTATTATCCGCTTGAAGATTATCTTTCTTTTACAAGTATTTAAGAAAGATCGAATCGTTTTAGTTACAAAAGTAGTAGTGTCAAGTTATAAGCGCTAATAAGGTTTTATCAGCCGTAAATTTTGTGATTTTTAACATACATCTTGTAGCTTTTTATGTTTGCTTCGGGATTAAGCTGCTAAAAGATTTTTTTAAATATTGTCTCTTTAGACAAAATATATACATATATGTACAAATATCGAACAGAAGAATCATGTTTAGGGTAACGATTGCTGACGCTTTTTTAATAGCGTTGCAAAATTAACAGAATGCATATCATGCTTGCGAAACATTTTTATGTGAAGTACTGCATTAAAATCGCTAATTTTTTAGTTCTATGGCCTAATTTGCGTCACTTATCACAAGAGACGAATTGTCGGCAGTAATAGAGCATAACAGCATCTGTTTAACAAATAAATGCTTTTTCCTCACAGGATTTAAGCTTACGCACGCGAAATAAACTTATGCAGACTTCTTCCTTACATCGATTACAGATACAACTTATTTTCGTATATAGCTATACAAGTGCCAACTTAATATAGAACATATACAATAAATGGATTGATACATTTTATATTTCTATTTAATTACGTGCTTGATGAATAATTATGCTCACACTTCCAGTAAATGGTTAATAATCTGATAGTATTAAATAAGATAAACGCATTATTCGTGTCACATAGATCTGCATTTATACTCTTCTAATAACATATCATTAATAAGTAAACTGCCAGAGAGCGAGGAAAGTGACGATTTCGAAAGATCTAAATAAATCATTGTCATCGTAAATTGTCAGTGTTTTTAGTGCAATACTTTACACATGGACAGATAATATACATTTAATATCGATCATGCAATTCTTTTTTAATATTAAAAGCATACTACAAAGATATAGTAGCCGAAAGACAAATTATGTAAGCGAATCATTGATACATTCTCATTTATTATTAATCGAGAGGCTCAACTAGTATCAAATTGTTTGACTATCTCGTATATACTATTCATAAAGTACGCTAGAAGCTACTATAGTATATATACTTATGTTTCTTTGATCTAATCAAAACGCCGACTACTAGCAATATTTTTTATAAAATTCTTGAGAATGTGAGACAAGTACATCGGGTGTTGTCTAGTATTTTAATGTAGATGTTTGATTATTATATTTCATTATATTGGAAAGCAAAATAATAATACTAGGCATCCTTATTGGAGGATGCGTAACTGCGTTGTTATTAGAAAGTGCAAGTTTATATACTTCATCGCGGAAACAATTTTGATATTTGGATTATTATTCCGGCAGTTATTTGCGTGCGTTTATATCAGAATAATTTTGCACGCGTACGTTTATACTAATATGAATAATATCCTCGATATACAGAAATTTTATTTGAGAAATACTCGCCTTCTATATACACATAAATTATATTTAGGACGAAAATTCGACGAGAATATAAATCTCTCATAAGAATGCATAAAACTTAAATTATGCATCCTTAGGTTTGGGTTCAATTTTATTCATGTCACGTTCATAGATCTTTTTTCAATTCTCTATTATATATTAGATTTTTATAAATATATAATATCAATTATATATTTATAAATTTTACACGTACATTGATAATCATTCATATTTTTATCCCTTGCACTCATATATTTATTTTGGGATAATTGCCTGCGGGATTATTAAAAATTTTAATAAAAAATTAATTCTTATTAACTTAAATTATTAATGTGTTGTTAATTGTGGATTCAATAAACATAAACGAGAAAAATTATACAGGTATTTTTACTTTTAGAAAATCAATGACAAAACAATCCAGTATATAAATGAGGATGAGTGCTAAGGATTAACAGAACAATTGTACAATATTGCTTGATAATGATATAATTTGCAGATTTCTTGATTGGATTTTTACTATTTCGTTCGTCCTGATTTTCAGAAAAGAAAATGTCTTAATGCCATTCTTTTTATTTATTAATATACATTTTCTTTTCTAATTACCTGGGTGATATTAAATTTTTACTAGCGATATTTTCTGAATGGACTAAAATAATATTATCTGAATTATTTTATAATGCATTTATATCAGTCGAATAGTAATTATACTAAAAAACAAGGAACATCACAAAAATATTTATATGAAAGATTGCTGATCTACATAATTATTAACAATGACTAATTCGTTGCATACAAATGCGAAATAAAGTCCAAAACGGATATACGTAATAAAGAATATTACAGAAAAAAATTAACATGTTCATTTATTTGTCTACACCCCATCCATTTCTAACTATTTAACTAAACGGATACTTTTATACTGCATCTATATTTGCTTATATGAAATATTCGAAAAAAAAGTGCATAAAAAAATATTCTTTCTTTTTTTAATTACTAAAAATCAATATCTACAGAAAACGCATTTTAAAAACATGAATAGTATGTGAGTGAAATCATTAAATTTATAGCAATAATTTTACAATTTTCTACATATGTATACAATTTTCTACATATGTATACAAATAAAAGTACATGAATAAAAACAAAAGGTGCATGAATGTTTATAGTTTTTATTTACAAGATGTAATACGATTATCTATAAATTATCTATCTTTATTTTGACCAGTTAATTAAACGACATAAATTTATTTTTCTGAAATCACAATATTAACGTAAATGTATCAAAATGTTTATACTTTCAGACATATATCTAATACAAACACTACATCCATGCCATACATTATCAAAATTATTAAAGAGGGATTGAAATTTGTTTTATAATAGTAAGTCTTTTAAATGGAACAATATATGCTTCTTTCGAAGTGCCTTTCAAGAAATATCTATTTGCATAGGTTGCATAATTTTCTAAGCATAAATTAAGTTCCAGCGTACTTGTGTTTTCATGTGATAATAAATTTATAACACCTGGAGGTATTCCACACTTCGAAAACATGTCATAATGTGATGACAGATTACAGAAGTTTGCATCAAACATTACAATGACAGAATTACCAGCAATTAAAGTTTGCATTAATCGGAAAAATAAAATGTTTTCATTTTCCTCCCTAAGTATGATAACACCTAATGGAATATGAGTTTGCAATATTTCTATCATTCCATTTTCAATGCATCCTTGTATACTATCATAGAGATATGGGAATCTCATCCACCTTTCTACTATAGCTGCTAATACAAATTTGCTAAAAAGGAAAAACGAAGAGATAATTGCTAAAAAGTTATCAAGAATAAACGAATATATATATATATATATAAGATATTATGTATATATTATCTTATATATATATATAAGATATTACTATATGAATATAAAAATGCTTTTCGATAACTTGATATACCCATTAAGTTTTAATATGGATATAAATCTAGATAATATTTGTATTCTAGCCTTCATAGACATATTACTCCAAGTTTTGAATCCTTTGTTAGCAGATTGATAGCATTTTTTTATATCGGTGCTGTAATAATAATAAATTGATTAATTGATTAAAAGTTTAATGTATGTTTTCTCAATTTTTTAAAATTTAAGTAAAGATTACAATAAGTTCAGTTAATCTAGTAAAATTTAAAGATTAAGAAAACGTGTGCATTCTTACTGTGTTGCATTTGCCCAGAAACTGTCATTATGCTTCCAATACATGCCTTTTATGGGTTTTTGCCATGCACCATCATAAAAAAGATTACCAATAGAAATATCGTTTATTTTTACAACAGATGATAAATGTACTAAATTCGTATTGGATTCTTGATTTTGATTAATTAATTTATGTTGGTAATTAATATTCAACATCATACATTCAGAATTTATTTCATATTGTACAGATATGTGTTTATAAATCCAAAGTAGTGTACTACCGTAGAAATCCATATATGTATTTATGAATACTACATGACTCTGAAAAATTATGAAATAGAAAAAGAATTTTAATGAAGTTCAAAGTAATTCTCGGCAATATACTGTCTTCAAATAATTTAAACAATATACATTTATAGATAATGCTAAATTCTTCGCAGCTACAATATCTTCCGACCATATGGATACTATACTTATTATGTTGTCATATGGAAGAAATTGAATATCTTTCACTGATTGAAATGTATCAATAGTTATGGATAATGTAGAACGATAATTCTTCATGAGCCATACAAATTTCTCATGCACTCGTTTTTGCACCCATATTTTATATAAAGGAAAATGGTCTGTTATTATTAAACAATTAATAACTGCATACAAATCTGAATCGTCTAAGATTATCATTTCATTTCTCGTATAAGGTTTGTCTGTATAAATATTTTACATAAAAAATTTTAATTATAAGAAAAACATTTTTATAAATAACACACATAGGCATTTTCCAGCAAGAAACAGATGTCACACAGAGTAGATACAGTGAATCATTTCATTCTCGTTTATCATTGGCGAACAACAAAGATGTAACGATTTTCTATTAGCGTTTTCGAGTGCAGTGGATTTTAACTGCACATTTTTTTGCACGGGATTTTAACAAACCCGGGTCATATCAATAACGTCACATGCTTCATTTTGATTTCTGATTGGACGAGGTCATAATACTTTCTGGCCAGACATGGGTTAATCGAACTAGGTCGGATTCAAACCCATTGCATTCGAAAACGCTATGTTACAACTTTGGCTGCGGTCTCACTATAAATGTTTTAAAGCAGCTGTCCAAAATCGGTGTTTTTTTTGGCTTGAAATTGAAATGTATCGGCATTTACGTCCATTACCGTTCCTACTCCTCACTTCATTGCTGTTTTGTCATAGCGCGTGATGCTTGGTCTCGTGAACGACACTAGTCCGAAATCGATAAAAGTTTTTGACCTGTCTTTCACTATGTTTAAAAGTATTCTGTTACTAATATTACAAAATACTACTATTCGTAGTATATTTAACTATAAAAATATGAATAAAAGAATATTTTTTAACATAGTGAAAGATACCCAGGTAGCAACGTGTTTGTCTTGTTGCTGGCATATTGCTTGCTAAGTATGCATTGCTAAGTATGTGTTGCTACCAGAATTGCAGCAACTGAGTCCTCATTTGTTGGCAACTTGATGCCTTCACGATATAATAACATTGAGTAGCAACTTGCCAGTAATTTGCCGACAACTTTAAAATCGTCATCATCAAAATTCGTACTATTGCCATCATGTTACCATAATAATATGCAGCATTATACAATGCTGTCATATTGCTGACAACGCAAGATAACATTGATGTAGCTATCTTGCTGTTAAACTGCTGGCAATACGTATACACATTGTCTGTATGTTGCTACAATGTCGGTATATTCGAAATCGTTGAAGACAAATCTACGGTAAGTTGTCAGCATCATAAGCAATCACAGATTTGCGAGATTTTGCTGAAACACGCTTTGCTATCTAGGTAAAAATTTTTAATGATTTCAAAACTAGTGTCATCCCTGAGACCAAGCGTCGTACGCTATGACAAAACAGCTATGAAGTAAAGAATAAGAACAGTAACAGGTGTGAATACCGACACATTTCGATTTCAAGCCAAAAAACATCGACCTTGGACAGCTCTGCTTTAAAGCGTTTGATTGACCCATTAGAAGAAAGAATTTTACGAAATGACCAGTCAGAAAACGCTTTAAATCGCGTTGACCGTACTCTATTAACTGTCTTTGTTGGAAAACGTCCAAGAATGAATAAATATTTCTCTGTTACCGTACATTTTAGCACAGAATTTATTTCATCATACAGTTCTATAATATTCTGTGATGTATCTCTAAAAAATACAGTAAAAAAATTATAAAAAGTTTATAAAATATTAATTTTAATTAATAAGGAATAATTAATAAGGAATTTTAAAAATTCCTGGATAAAAAAATAAGTATGAGAATAACTACATTATAGTGAAGAGAATGTTTTACATATAGTTACATGAGACAATCTAGAAAAAATGAATTCATCACAGATCCTGTACAGACAGTGACGAGTGTAATTACTAACAAACTGGGTATGTCATCTAACCCGTAGTCTACAGAAACAATAAAAGAATATGGAAGATAAAACTTTCATGAATAACCAACTTAATACGTTCATTATTGTGCTATCTGTTATTTTTACTTCATCAGAAAAAATAAAATAAAAACACAAATAATGTAAAAAAACGATATTTTTACAATTGTAAATGCGAGAATAATATTACTATAGGTACCTGAGGTTACTTCCGATTTATTGGCGATTATCACAGAGTAATCAGTTAAATAGCGTAAAATAGTAAAAATTACATCTACGTGTTTAAAAAGAGATGCAAAAAACAGCATATTTTGATATATTGTCTTTCCCAGTATCTCCAATCTATGCAAAAAAAAGATCATTAAAACTAACAAAGATGAAAGCTACTTCTATGTCTATTAGTATTCTATTTTAAAATTCTGTCTTTATTTACCTCTTCGTTATATCATCGTTATGATTAAACCTAAGCCATATCGTATCAATGATATTGTTTAACTTCTTCTGTAGTTCCTAAAAATATGCATAAGTTAAGAAATATTACACGTTACATACAAAAAATGGAGATTCTTTTAGCAATAATATTAAATTTTATAAATTATCAACAATGTACTATTATATACTGCACATGTCAATACTCACTTTTTCTTTATCATCATAATCTAGATTAGTATAATATTTATTTAAAACTTTCACTCGCTCCATGAATGCCAATATAATTCTATGATATTTGTAAAAAGAAAGTAAAATTGTAATCGATCGTTATATTTTATGAAACAACACAAATTTACAGGACGAAAAGAGCTTTAGAATTTCTAGACAATGTAATATTCAGACTTAAGAAGTAGAGAGCAAATCACATATTGTTTACATTCATATGTGACATTCGCAGCATGAAGACATCTATGTCTAAACGACTTACAATCGGTATAAGTAAGCGACACTTTGGAACATTTCAGCAACAAATGTTACAACGTTTCTAAAATGTTGTTGAAAACAAACTAAATGTTTTTTGCTTACTGAGGAAATTCTCTCAATATAAAGTTTCTAGAGAAATAATTCACCTGCTCCTTTTGCTATTACGTTTTCTTCCTCGAATTTTTGCCATTCATAAAATAAGAAATTCGTTAAGAAAATCCTCGAAAACCTCCACCTGACGGCAAGATGATCGTTTCTTTCGATTGCGAGGGCGTAAATCTTGGTGTTAAAGGACAGCTGATTGTTGTACAAATCAATACAACAATGAGCGGTCAAGCGTATGTATTCGATTTAGTCACGTGCCCGGACCTCGTTCAAGCTGGTACTCTCCAGAAGCTACTGGAACATCCTCATGTTACTAAGGTAAAATATATATAACAATATATAATAGATAAAAATACATAAGAGATATTAATTACTTCACAAAGGTAGACAATTAACTGCTTCAAGCATGTAAATTTGTGTTCATTTTTGCAGGTGATTCACGATTGTAGAAATAGACAGTGTCAATCTATATAATCAATTTAATATTACGTTAACGAATATTTTTAACACAGATACTTAACGTTCTTTGCATTTTTTTATATAGAAATAACGTATCATTATAAATGTAATATGAAATGGCAATATCTTTTATAGGCTGCGCACGCAGTGCTTCAGTTTCAAGAAACGGGGAAGCCTGTGTACAAAGTTAAAAATGTTAATTTGAACACTTTGTGCGATCATTATGGTGCTCCGTGTAATCCGCTAAAGGAACAATTGAAAAATATTTATCGTAAGGATCAACGTTATTGGTCTCGACGACCCATTACTCGCGAGATGCTAATTTATGCGAGTAGCGATGTTTTAAGTCTCGTACCTCAAGTTTATAATGCTATGTCTAGGTGTGTCATTTTATTCGCAATTTTCTCGTGAATAATTAATTCTTCCCATGAATAATAGACTAGTACAAATAATGGTTTTGTTTATTATTGACAGACTTATAAAGCCGGAACATGAGTGTCTTTTTGCGGAGCTTTGCGAAGAACAGATTCAAATGCACATAAGACCGGCGATTGTAAAAGCGCGTAAGAAGCAACGAAAGATTGCGACCGAATTGTCAGATTTGAAAAAGAGAATGGAAGAAGCGACGAGTAAAAATATCGTACTGAGTAACCGTGAAATTCGGCTTTTTCGCTACTTGATTCTTATCGAAGACGAAAAGGAAAATGTTGCTAGAAAATTGGAAAGGCTAGAGAATATGGACCATGATAAAGCCGAAATAGCAGACGAAATAGATGACGACGACGACAATAAAACGGATGATCATGAATATTAAAATTTGAAAAGTTATACATCGAAAAATTCTCATTCCGATAAAATATTAACATTTTAAGTTGAAATACAAAATCATTACTTAAAATTATAAATATATATATATTGCATATATATATATACATTTTAAAATATTAAAATTATTAAAATCATGAAAGTATGTATCTTTTTGGCAGTTCTGTATGATAAGCACAGTTTGATGATCCGAAAATTAATTTTTAGGTAGTATGTGTTGTCGCCACGAAACGCCGAAACTCCAAGTCTGACAAGGGACGTCAGCCAACCGTCCGGCATCGATTTGATTCTCCGTGAAATATGTTTTTAAACATAAAAATCTAAAAGACATGTATTTTTTTAGACGTGCGCTAACTCATGTTTAAGGAGTGTTTCATTCTAAGAATGGACTAAAATGGTATTATCTGAATTATTTCGCATTCATATCAGTCGAATAGTAATTATACTAAAAAACAAGGAACATCACAAAAATATTTATACGAAATATGTTAATTCATATAATTATTAACAATGATTAAGTCGTTGTATATAAATGTGACATAATAAGTCTAAAACGGATATACGTAATAAAGAATATTACAGAAAAACGAATATGTTCATTTATCTGTCTGTACTCCATCCATTTCTAGTTATTTAATTAAATAGATAAGATACTTTTATACCGCATCTATATTTGCTTACATGAAATATTCGAAAAGAAAAAAGTATATATAATAAAACTATTTTTTCTTTTTTTAATTACTAAAAATCAATATTTACAGAAAACACATTTTAAAAACATGAATAATATGTGAGTAAAAGCATTAAATTTATGTATAACAATAATTTTACAATTTTCTGCATATGTATACAAATAAAAACATGAAAATAAAAACATAAATTGCATGAATGTTTATTTAATATAACTTTTATTTACAAGATGTAATACGATTATCTACACATTATTTATCTTTATTTTGACCAGTTAATTAAACGACAATAATTATTTTTTTGAAATCAATATTAAAATAAATGTCAAGATGTTTATACTTTTAGACATATATCTAACACAAATACTACATCCCTGCATTATCAAAATTATTGAAGAGGGATTATAATCCGTTTTGTTATAGTAAGTCTTTTAAATGGAAGAACATATGCTTCTTTCGAAGTGCCTTTCAAGAAATATCTATTTGCATAGGTTGCATAATCTTCTAAGCATAATTTAAATTCCAACGTACTTGTGTTTTCATGTGATAATAAATTTATAACACCTGGAGGTATTCCACACTTCGAAAACATGTCATAATGTGATGACAGATTACAGAAGTTTGCATCAAACATTACAATGACAGAATTACCAGCAATTAAAGTTTGCATTAATCGGAAAAATAAAATGTTTTCATTTTCCTCCCTAAGTATGATAACACCTAATGGAATATGAGTTTGTAATATTTCTATCATATCATTTTCAATGTGTCCTCGTATACTTTCATAGAGATATGGGAATCTCATCCACCTTTCTACTATAGCTGCTAATACAAATTTGCTAAAAAGGAAAAACGAAGAGATAATTACTGAAAAGTTATCAAGAATAAACGAATATATATATATAAGATATTATGTATATATTATCTTATATATATATATAAGATATTACTATATGAATATAAAAATGCTTTTCGATAACTTGATATACCCATTAAGTTTTAATATGGATATAAATCTAGATAATATTTGTATTCTAGCCTTCATAGACATATTACTCCAAGTTTTGAATCCTTTGTTAGCAGATTGATAGCATTTTTTTATATCGGTGCTGTAATAACAATAAATTGATTAATTGATTAAAAGTTTAATGTATGTTTTCTCAATTTTTTAAAATTTAAGTAAAGATTACAATAAGTTCAGTTAATCTAGTAAAATTTGAAGATTAAGAAAACGTGTGCATTCTTACTGTGTTGCATTTGCCCAGAAACTGTCATTATGCTTCCAATACATGCTTTTTATAGGTTTTTGCCACGCACCATCATAAAAAAGATTACCAACAGAAATGTCGTTTATTTTTATGATAGATGACAAATGTACTACATTCGTACTAGATTCTTGATTTTGAATAATTGGTTCATTTTGGTGAGTAATATTATTCATCACCCATTCAGTATTCCTTCGAGATTGCATAGATATGTGTTTATAAATCCAAAGTAGTATACTACCGTAGAAATCCATATATGTATTTATGAATACTACATGACTCTGAAAAATTATGAAATAGAAAAAGAATTTTAATGAAGTTCAAAGTAATTCTCGGCAATATACTGTCTTCAAATAATTTAAACAATATACATTTATAGATAATGCTAAATTCTTCGCAGCTACAATATCTTCCGACCATATGGATACTATACTTATTATGTTGTCATATGGAAGAAATTGAATATCTTTCACTGATTGAAATGTATCAATAGTTATGGATAATGTAGAACGATAATTCTTCATGAGCCATACAAATTTCTCATGCACTCGTTTTTGCACCCATATTTTATATAAAGGAAAATGGTCTGTTATTATTAAACAATTAATAACTGCATACAAATCTGAATCTTCTAAGATTATCATTTCATTTCTTGTATAAGGTTCGCCTGTATAAATACATTTTATATAAAAAATTTTAATTATAAGATAAAAACATATTTTTATAAATAACTCACAATGGACATTTTCCAACAAGAAACAGATAACACAGAGTAAATATGGTGAATCATTTCATCCTTCTTTATTATTGGCGAACAACAAGGATGAAACGATTTTCTATATTACAATTGTATCAGCTATCTTTGTTGGAAAACGTCCAATATGAATAAATATTTCTTTGTACCGTACGTTGTATCGTAGAACTTATTTCATTATATATTTCTGTAATATTTTGTGACATATCTCTAAAAAATACAGAAAAAATATTATAAAAGTTTATAAAATATAATTTTAATATAAAAATTTCTCGATAAATAAGTGTGAGAATAACTACATTAGTGAAGAAAATATAGTTACATGAAACAATTTAGAAAAAATGAATGCATCACAGATCCTGTACACACAGTAACGAGTGTAATCACTAATAATTCGGGTATAATATTAGGATGGTACTCTACAAAAACAATAGAAGGTATTATAAGACTTTCATAAATAACCAACTTAATATGTTCATTATTGTGCTATCTGTTATTTTTATTTATCAGAAAAAATAAAATAAAAACACAAATAACGTAAATAATGATATTTTTACAATTGTAAATGCGAGAATAATATTACTATAGGTACCTGAAGTTGCTATTGATTTATTAGAAAGTATCTGAGAGTACTCAGTTAAGTAGTGTAAAATAGTAAAAATTACATCTATATGTTTAAAAATAGATGAAAAAAACGGCATATTCTGATATATTGTCTCTGTCAGTATCTGTATTCTATGCAAAAAAAAGATCATTAAAACTAACAAAGATGAAAGCAACTTTTATATTTCTTATTATTCCATTTAAAAATTCTATCTTTCCCATATAGCACCAATTATTGCAGAAAACTTTCAGAAATGTTTTAACCTTTCACGTATCATGTGCAACAATTCTGAAAAGATTCTGCAATATGTCATATGAAATGTTTAACAGAAATGTTTCTAAAATCTATCATATCTACAATAAATTGAAAAACATTTAAACAGAACAAAAAATCATCATGATGTTAAAATGGCTCTAAAATGTTTACTAAAAGTCATTTTTTTGTTCAATCACATTGTTCAGTTTGATGTTATTTTGATGTTATTGTGACTTAAGTTCTACTTTAATTGCGAAAAACTTTTGTATCCAGATAACCAAGCGTGATTAATCATATCAAGCAAACTAATGCACTGGATGAGTGTCGAATAGTTGTTTGCCGTCATCCTATCAAGTACCTGTCGTACTGAGCAACATGAATGATTATACAAGTATTTTATAGTTAATGGAATTTTGAAAGCAAGCAATCAGAAATATTAGTATAGTATGTTACTAGCAATGTGACGGCAACATGCTGACAATGAGGAAATATACTAATATCAACAAATTGCCGTTAATTTGCTGCAATCTGATGTCGAATTTATATGAGTACAACCTAAGACACACAATGACGAAGCACCTTGACTTGAATTTCTTCTAGAAATTGGTTGTCAGCAACATGACGGCAATCTCAGAGGTATTTGGCTATCTGGGTATATGAATGACTTGTTCTGATTTAATTGCGAAAAACTTTTGTATATGAATAATTTCAGACAGCCAAATGCAGTGTATTTACTAACATGTTGCCGAAAACGTTACAGCAACCAATTTCGACAAATTCAGGACAAGGTGAGACAGAATTACGTCTGTGGCGTTGAACTCAATAGAATTCGAATTTTTGCGATGCTAACATGTTGCCGACAACATAATGTGTAAACCACCATTGCTTATAGTTTGCTCTAGAAATTTCGACAACTAATTACATATATAAGCAATCATATGTTGTTGTAATAGGATCATTCATAACGTATCCTATTTTGATGTCAACAAATGTACAGTAAATATATATCAACATATGCAATGCATTATAGTTTGCACAATATGCTATATCACGCTTGGCTATCTGGGACGATATTGTGTGGAAACTGCAGATGATTTTTTAATAGTATGAGTTTTTAATAGATTATGTATAAGTGTTTATAATATGATATACATATAATATGATTAATTAATCAAAATAGTTGGCGGTATAATTATTATTTTTGAGAAATACTTTAAGTTTATTTCAATAAATTTTGTAATCTGTAAACAGATCATAAAACTCTTAATAAATTTTAAGTACTTCAGTAATGATATTTAAATATATGTTTAATTGATACTTAAACAATATTTAAATATTATTTAAGTATCAATCAAATATCATTTTTGTAATACTAAAATGGTTGAAACCTCTTTGGAAACCTCTAATATTTCAAAAAGATTGGAGATTCTTTCTGCTATGATATTTCATCAACCTTTCAACAAGATTTCATGTGCAAGAATCGCGGACATTTTGCTATTTCAGAGCTGTCTCAGAAATATTGTAGACGTATTTCGCAATTTTTATGAAACGTTTCACTTTTCAGTTGAAATATTTTTGAGATGTTTCTGAAAACTTTCGGTACTGTATGGGTTATTTACCTCTTTGATATATCATCGTTAGACCTAAGCCATGTCATGTTAATTAGATCTTGTAGCTTCTTCTCCAGTAGTTCCTAAAAATACGCACAGGAAGCAGTATTACACGTTACATACAAAAAATGGAGATTCTTTTAGCAATAATATTAAATTTCATAAATTATCAACAATATATTATTATACGCTGCACATATCAATACTCACTTTTTCTTTATCATCATAATCTAGATTAGTATAATATTCGTTTAAAACTTTTACTCGCTCCATGAATGCTAATATAATTCTATGATATTTGTAAGAAGTAAAATTGTAATCGATCGTTATGTTTTGTGAAGCAACACAAATTTACAGGACGAAAAGCGCTTTGGAATTTCTAGAAAATGTAATATTCAAACTTAAGAAGCAAATCACATTGTAATATTCAAACTTAGGAAGCAAATCACATTGTTTACGGTCATATGTGACATTCGCAGCATGAAGACATGATCCATGTCTAACGATGTCTCAGTATATAAATAAGGGACGTACTTTGGAAGATTTCAGCAACAAATGTTACAACGTTCCTAAAATATATTGTTTAAATGTTCCAAAATGTTTCTTGCTTACTGAGGAAATTCTCTCAATAATAATTGTTCCTCAAGAAATATAATTCGCCTGCTCCTTTTGTCATTATGTTTTCTTCCTCGAATTTTTGCTATTCGTAAATTAAGACATTCGTTAAGAAATACATATCAACTTTTTTATCATGTACATTTAAAAATCATTGCCGACCTTAACGAAAAAAAATTGAGTGGGTTACGTGGATTGATACATTGCGCAATTTATTTGCAATATTACAATAATGCAATGAGATATATCTTCAATCATTTTGCAATCTTTTTGTGCTGTATGGGATATAACAAAATATTACGTTTACAAACAAATGTTTCTTTTTAATTACTTGGAACCAGACAAAGTGTCTGTTATAGATTTTTGGATGCTGAAAATGTTATCACAAGTTAAATTTCACTGACACGTTCGATTTTGAAATAATTAAAAAGATTTAATGTATAAAAAATGGCTTTTTTGCCATACTTTTGCGATATTTGATATTGTAAAATTTGATTTTTGTATACGACGTTTGATTATTTTAAAAAAAATGGTTGACGTTGTCTTGAAATTCTGAAATCATAAATATATTTTTTATTCCCTAAAAAATATTATTTCGCTTTTTAATATCATACTTTTTAGCTACGTTATGAAGGTTTCAAGTATAAAATTTTTCTGAAATAGTAGTATATCTAATAATTCTTTAATTATGAATAATTTAAATTGAGACTTTAATCTTTCTTCACGATGCGTTTCTTTAAAAATCTGTAACACATTAACTTTACAAGAGTAATTTAAATTCTAACTACTAAATCACTTATTAGTATGATACTTCATATTAATTTTGATACAGTTTGTTTCTCTCGAATATTTTTCTAGAATAAAGCGAAATAATTTAAGAATGGTGCATAGTGCATAAGCGAATCAACTAATCAGAATCTTTTCTTTCCTCTCATTCCATGGAAAAGAAGAATTTCGATTGGTCGATTCCCTTATGCACTCACTATGTATTATGCGTTAAGGTAAATTTTCACGAGCTGCTTAAACAGGCTGTTTCAGCGACAGAAAGGATCACGTTGTCAAAATTGACGAATATCAAGCGTTCATTTTGATCACGTGATCCTTATTGACGCTGAAACAGCCTGTTTGAGCAGTTCGTGAAAATTTATCTTTATGCAAGAGTCTGTACTGCGGCCATTAGTGTATATTATTCACACAAATTTGCATAGCCGCATAAACGTACGACGAAAATTATCCAATCACATTTTGCATGCGTCTTTATAAGAAAAATGCAATTGGATTTTATTGCAATTTTCTTTATGCATACGTTTATGCGGCTATACAAGTTCGTGTGGATATACCCTTACTCGGTGAACAAATTAGTCGATTTATCGACTTGAATGCGCCCATTAACTTATCACTTGATGGTCGTCTGCATTGGCTGCATTCAACAGAACCACTAACGAGATCTCGTCGGTGGCAGAACACAACAGTTTTACAATCGTTTTATGATTGGTCGCGTTCAGCAGACTCAACTGTTGCGGAGCGGATCAATGAGCTCTCGCTGCTATTGGATGATCTAAAAGAATACTACAATAGGTGTTTTAAGGCCGGTATTCATAGTCGATTCTTATTTCAAGACCGTCTTAAGTAATGTCTTAATATGCTAATGTGGCTCTCTTATTGGTTCGTAACACCTTAAAGCTGAACTTGAGATGATCTTGAATATAAGAACTGACTATGAATACCGGCCTAAGACTCAAGCTGTAAGAAATTGACCAATTACAGTCTGAGGGGAATAATCGACTGTGATTCGCCCATTGCTTATGGCTTAAGCTCCTATTATAGGCCTGGTTTACACCGTACGTTTTTTCCGCGGCCTATACCCTAAATTCGACCTAATTCAGGTCACATTATTTAGGCCGCTCGCTGTAAATACTACTATACCTGACCCAACCTGTTGTAGGTCAGGCCGTATTTTTTGGCGCCCTCACCTAAAATAGGTCGTCTGCTTTCTCGGTGTAAATTCGCGACTGACCCGACCTGAAGCTTCGTAGCCATTTTGCTCGAACAGCTGTTTTGTTGAATTTGAGAGTTAGGTTAAACCGGTAGCCATACTTACGTCTACTTGCTATAAGCGCCTTTTTCATGACTTAATGCGCATGCGTTTAGCGATTCTTGGGTCCATATGGAAATAATTTGTACAAAATACGATAGATGGCTCTAATTCGGACCAGCGTGGACTAAATATGACCCAACCATTTTTTAAGTCCCTTTCGGTATAAACGGTTGGTGACTAGACCTACTTTGGGTCACGATATAGGTCAGGTCGCTATCAGTCGTACGGTGTAACCGTAGCCATAGATCCGAGGTAATCGGAGTTGGTGAGCCGAGCCTATAATCTCGAAAATTTTCCCAGGGCCGGCCGTCTTTGATAATATAACGGAGAGCATATAAGAAGCATATGAGAAGCACAAAAAAATTCTGTTAATGATTTATATACTTTAGCTCTGTTTCCAAAATTTGTTTTTTCGTACTTTCCTCTTACGTGATATTCCAAATACCTCTCGAAGTTATATATGTCGCTTATTTAATTTTTTTCAAGTAAAAAACCGACGACGAAAGATGTTATTTTACCATATTGCAAGTTTGATGGGGTATTTTGATAATGAAAGTTATTTGATGAATGAAAATTAACGAATGAAAATTTATTAAAAAAAAAAACGTGTATATCGTGTGTATTTATTTGTCCAAAACAAACACATTGTTCATATACACATGTAGTATCAGACGTGCGATGAGAATGTTTTTACACGTTACCTCGTAATTGCTAGTCATAAATCTTCTTTGTGAGAATATAGTATGTTTAACGTTACATTTTCAACACGTGTAATAAAAATACACTTGCCCTTATATGCAATCTTCAAGAGAAATGATAAATCACGTGAGCTAACCTTTTCGTACTGTGCGCATCACATTCGAAAGAGACAGTCGCACTCATCTCCAGCCGGTGGTCCCTGGAGTGTATTGTTTTTTGGAACGAGTAACTTTTCTCTGGAAAGCTTACAAAGCTTGTATAACAAATAGTTAGTATCGAAGTAGCTTTATCAATAGTTTATTTGTAAATTTTATTTAATAGGTAATTAAATATTACAATACAAGAAATGTGAAAACGTGAAGAGTATACTTATAAAATTGGTTTTTTAAATCTACAGCAGAGCCAAGAAACTCTGTCGATTAGAAGTCGTATCGGTGTGTAAAAGGAAAAAGAATGTCGTTGTGCAGTATGCAGAGGAGAAGGGAATCGTTGTTAATGAATGGCCCCTTGAAAACAATCCACAGGGTTTTCATATCGGAATAGTTGTCGCCTTTGGCCATCTGATACCATTAAATATTATAAATTCTTTTCCACTGTAAGTCATTTTATTTATCCACAACATGTGTCCAGTCCATAAACTGTTATAATACGTTATTAATATATCTATTTTTTGTCACAGTGGTATGTTAAATGTTCACAATAGTCTATTGCCACGATGGAGAGGAGCCGCTCCAGACATTTATACCTTAATGAAAGGAGACACACAGACAGGAATTACAATCATGAGGATGGCAGAAAAGTAAAGCCTTTAAAAAATTTGTTTCTTAATATTGTTTTTGAAATATCAGCATACTGTTTAAAGTGCTTATTTTCTCTTGCTCATATTTTCTTTTTATATATGATTTTATATTTTCCCCAACACAAAAGATTTTTATAGATATTATATACATACTTCATTTTTCTAATTTTTTAATTGATAAAGAAACATCAAGAGTCATTTGCATGTTTCTAAGTTTTATTGGTAGAAGAACGAATGTTACAATCTTAATATTATCTCGATTGCACCATTTAGATCGATAGACGGTTTTTTATTACTCTGTTACGGCAGGTTTGATACTGGAGACATAGTAACACAGGAAAAGATAGATATTCATGCAGATGAAACTCGACCAGAATTAAATATGAAGTTAGCAAAGCTGGGTGCGAATGTTCTGATTGATGTGATAGGAAAATTGCCACAGGTATTATCTTCTTCGAGGCCTCAGGGAAAATTAGGTGTAACGTACGGTAATTTGTCTTTGCTGCTGTACTAAGCGACAAAATACATTAATGTTTTAACTACTTAAATTATTTCATTGATATTTCTTGATAATTACACTTTGTAGCACCTAAGATTACATCAAAGACCTCTTTAGTGAAATGGGACGAGATGACGGCGAAGAACATTTATGATCTGCAGCGTGCTCTTCTAGGACTGTACCCATTAAAAACCAAGTTTGATGGCGTGACTATAAAATTGTTGGATATCCGGCAGACGTCGAAACCGGAAGATGGAAGAAATGTGGATATACCAGGTAATTAATCATTATTCCTGCGTGATTCGCTGTGATACTAAGTTAGTATCAAGGATTGGAAACAGTTTATTCCTAGGAAGAAAATGAATTATCTGAAAATATAATTATTGCATATTTGAAGATGAGATGTGCATGATTAATGTGGTAAGCCTTCTTCCAGGTTTCACGAGATTTGATCGGAAAAGTAATACGTTAGTTGTGACATGTAAAGGACCAAGTTGGATCTCAACAACAAAATTAATTGTGAAAGGTCATTCAGTTATGAGTGCATTGCAGTTTAGAAATGGATTTATACGGGGCAGAAAGAAAGATTGGATATTATTTCAGAGTAATGTTACATAATCTATAGCGCTGACATCAATGCTATTCTTTTGTAAATGTATATGACAATTTCATTGAGAAACAGATAATGAATATTAAATTTTTATTTACTATAATAGTAAAATTTAACTTAGAATGTACAAAATGTAATATTAACGCGGTGACTACTGTGATAATAATAAATTATTTATCATATATGTCAATATTTCTTTAAATATTGAATATGATGAATTGCTTTTTGCTCATTTCTGATGATTTTGCATGTAAAATAATATCGAAATTCTTGTCTCGTGCGAAAATATTCTTTTGTATATTCCTTTTATTACTCTCTTTATAATAAATTATTTAATATCTAATAATTTATTTAATATTTTTTATCGTAGAATTCCTATATAAAACTACAAAGCATTACGAAAAAATCAGTAAAAGAAATAACAAGAAATAAGTAGTGTAAACTATGCTAAGTTTCAAATAAACCAGTTTTAAGTGGAATTGTAGTAGATTTTTATAGAATTCATTTTTCTTCAAATTACAGCAAAGTTTCTCTTCTATGTGCTCTCGTGTCTTACAAACAGGGACTCGGACCAAAATTACATTATGGATTAAAATTTCGACTGGTTACGATTATGGCCCGAAGATACTCAACTTTCAATTTCGGTATCGGTTTCAGTTCTTTTAGTGATAACGGTGAGACCGTTATCGGTATATAATTACCGAAAATCGAAACCAAGCAGGATCGAAATCCAAACGGATCCGATAACTGTTATGATAAAAGAAACCAAAAGTTGGAAGCCTCAGACCGTTATCCGGATTTTTCGGTCCAAGTCCCTTGTGTTGTGCTTACAAAAAAAAAAAGAAAAAAACAGAATAACACTGAATGCCTTATTTATATAAACGTAGAATTGGAGCTGCAGATAGAAAATTGTTGATATTAAGTCTCAGTTTCAGAGGCCTGAAATGAAAGAAATATTTTTACTATAAAAGTCTTTTTTTTTATTATGTTTAATGTGCCAATGATATATCCACATTGACAATAAACGGAAGACACAAAATGGAGTTGAGAATGCTTCAAGATATCATTCTATTTTGCTGTATATTACAAAAAAATAAAAATAAATATAATTTAATTTACATTAGATAAAAATTTTCTGTTCCTATTCCCCTGTAATATTAATTTTTTAAATTTCGTAAGATGATATATATCTATCTTTTCTATTTGATTCACCTCGAGAAACCAGCTCAAATCAATTTATTCATGTACAGATTAAAGTACTTTATATTTTGTCATAACTTTAGTTTATTGTCTCTACTATCAATGTATGTGTCTCTATCGTCAATGTATGTGCATTTATTCAGATTTATCATTCGTTCTCTCTTAATCAAATATTGGATAGAAAAAGAAATTACTATCTATATTACAACATTATAAAAAAAATAATTTCTTTTATACACATTGTAGTGCTATTTAAAAATTTCTATAAATGTATACATAGACAAAATAGAAAGTACATCAATCTAATATTAAAAAATATTGATGTCTATGGACAGTAAAAATTTATGAACTTACACTAGGATCGCAGTCGGCACAGTGCCACGAATATCCTCTCCTTTTCGGAGACTTTTTCACAGGAGGATCTAAGCACGTAAAGTGATAGCATTTCTTACATTCGTCACACCTGCAAGAATTAAATGCACGCGCGACATAAAAAGTCGTTATAATAACATTTTTCAATTTTAGCGTCTATAATTTTAATATTCCAGTTATCATTTGTTGCAATACTAACATAACGAGATTTTGGTTGGTGCCGGGAGTATCACAGACGTTACATTGTGTCATAAGGTCCGTATCTTTCCCTCTCTTCGTTCCCGTTGACAGTCGACCACTGCTATTCATAGATACATTTACTGGAGGTACATTTGCAGCCGGAGGTGGCACAGGTGGTGGTGGCAATGTAATTTCAGTACTCGAAGTGGCTACAAACATTTGCGGGCTCGATTCCGAGTCTGTGTGTCCTTCCGGTCGACGAATTGGTTTTATCTGTATTCGATCAATTAACATTATTAATGTTCAAATCAATGTAGTGATAAAATAAAATGGAAAAATAATAGATACTTTTATTGTAATCCTTCTATGAATCTCTGGTTGGCTTTGAACTTCTGGATTTTCTATATCTAAACTTTTTCTTTTATGCTTTCGTTTTCTCTGTTTGATTCCAGTTATCGGATCTGGGGAATATCTTTTATGCTTCTCCCTAAGAAATATTAAGTATTTATACGTATATTAAATAATTTAATACATATTTGCACAAATATGATGAACATATAAATTATTATTTCTTATTTGAGAA